AACGAACCTTCCATAATATGGTATTTTTGCTTTAGTAGCATTTTGTTTCAATTGATCAAATGCACCATCAGCACATACTAGACATACTTTCCAACCTTTACGTTGATAATGATATACCAACTATTGTACATAGATGATGGTTAAATTTTTTACGGAATTATTGCAAGAACAATAATAATATACTGCACTTTTGTACAAGTTGTCGTTTTACCACTGCCCTGTAAACCAACAAACATTATAATATTGTTTGCACCTTTCTTTGGTTTATATGGTTCAGTACCAGGTTCAACAAGTCAGTCTAGAAGTATATTCAAGAAATAAAATATATTATTAGAATGAAAATTTGTATGTATCAAGAATTCGGGAATAATTTAGACATTAACGTCTTATTAATTCCAGCGGCAAGATCTTGAATGTTAACTGTAGTCTTTACATTATTTCTCAAATTTCCGACCAGACGAACATTTACGTCAGTTTCCAAAAGTGCAGGACAGATGTCTTTCAAATACAGCATCAAGTACCTTGAGTAATTCTGTAATTGTAAAGAATTAGATCGCATAAGAGATCAATTTTATGCATTTATACAGTATCAACCAATCAAATACTACGTAGAACATCAACTATCTAAATGCATATTATATATATATATATATATATATATATATAGCTAGCCTAGTACCCACGGGAACTGAATTATTAAGTTAAAATGTAAATCTAAATATAAATTTTACATATATTAAAGCCCTTGCCCGGGTCAGTTTGATCCGTACAAGTCAGCTTCTTGGTGGATCACGGGTCAAAAATTGGGTTATACGGGTCAGTATTTCTGACGTAGAAAATAGATAAACTCACAAGGTTGAATTTTAGAAAAACCCATGAGCCGTCAAATTTGCAGATCATTTGTCCAGCTTTGAAGTCAAATAATTTCAAACCAATCCCAATGATCTGCAAATTTGACCAGAGTTACGGCTCATGGGTTTTTCTATTTATCAAATCCCACAAATCCGCCGATATGTGATCCGGATATCTGTTCGGATATCTGTTTGGATATCCATTTAGATATCTGTTTAGGTATCATTTGGATATCTGTTCGGATACCTGTTCGGATATCCGTTTGGATATCCATTATTATAAATATATCAGATAATTCGGTTAAATCTATTTGGATATCCGATATAATCAGATAGATATTCGGATATAATGACACGGATAAATGGGTGGGCAAATTTATCCGGATTGGACCTCTACAATCAATATATTATTAAAACTGGAGGTCCAATCGGTCTAACAAAACCGACTTAATAAGTGGACTAGGAATTAGTCAAAAAAAAAAATAATGATTTGTCTCAATTTTTTGACCGATCTCAATCGCTAATCATAATTAATATGTCTTTTCTGAGTATATTAATGAAGAATTCATAATAGTATTCTAACTATTCAAGATTTTCAATTAATACAATCGTTACCATTAGAATTAATAGAACAAAAAATTTTGGTGTAATAACATGTGTTTATTAGGTAAAAATTTTTATTACTTTAAATAGTTCGATATTTAAAGATTAGATGGATTGTTAATCATCTTCCATTTCCTCATTAAGTGATTCCTATAAAGAATTCAAAATGTTAAAATGACCATGCAATAATAAATTATGAACTTATTAAAAGGTATAGGAACCTTTGCTAATCTTTCCGCTTCTGCCGCAATGTCATCAGGTACAAATTGATGTCTATTTTCCTCAGTTATCCAGCTCAATTCTAATTCAAATTCTTTATCTTTGGCTTCATCGTGAACTGTATAAATGCTACCAACAGAAAAAGACAATTAATAGCAGGAAAAAAAAGAATTTGCGGAGAGAATCAGATAATTACATTCGTGCAGCTTCTTTAACAGCATCCAGAACGGTCATCTCTGAAAGTTTAAGCTTTTCAATTTCCGTTTTTGCTACCTGTTTTCCCTTACCAATCGCGCATCCGTGATAACCCTAATAATATATTTAATAAAAAAAACAATTAGTAACGAAAGGTACCAATCGTGAAATAATAATACCATTTTGAAGATATTATCTTACCCAGTATACACCAGATGGTTCAACCATAAAAAGTTGTGGACCATCTTTGTCAACAGTACCAATAATAGCGCTGCTACCAAATGGTCGAACATTTGAATATAACGTGTATGCTTGTGCATAGTGGCCTACCCTGTCTGCAATTGTCTATAGAAAAAAAAGCTTGGTTTAAACAAATTATAACGAATATGCATATATCGGATAAATTGAATAATGAACAAGGTATGATATTAATTACCTTGCCGGAAATTTGATCTTTATATATATTTCGATAATTCTCGGCTTCATCTCTCGCTCTATTGATAATATGACGACCATCTGCTAATAAACCAGCAGTAGCCTATTTATGTGCAAAGAGTAATTGCTTGATCCAATGCAGAAATAAATTAAATAGGCGAAAATTTTACAAATGCAAATTGTTTTACCACGCCAATATGAGTATCAACAGTTTGAATACGACGGTTTGATCTTGGGACTAGTAACTTTGATTGTACAAGTTTTTCAACAGCCAAGACAACGCCGTCTTTGACCCGTAAACCAATTGCAGTTCTAAAATACATATATAGAACCTTTAAAAGTTAATATTTGGTTTAATGGATAATTAAATATATACGTCTTTAAAGAAAATAACAAGTACCCACTATTGTCCACAGCTTTTGCAGCATATTCTACTTGAAAAACGCGGCCGTCGGGTGAATAGGTGGACACAGAAAGATCATACTACGTACGAGTAGACGCAGATTAATAGAATTTAATAGATAAAAAGTTATTTATATCAAGAACTTACACCAGTTCCAATTGAAGTCATACCGAAAGCTAAAGTAGAATTTTTTAACGTTAGCAAATATGAAGAGCGGGCTTTCGTTTTGATTGGATATGTTTCAACTGGGCCACCAAAAAAATTTTAACTATCCCAAGAGCACCTCGAAAAATTCCGCGTAAATCACATGATTAATGATTCGATTATCGCCATTTATTAAATTTTACTTTTAACTTCATAACTCTCTAATTTAAAACATGCGATATTGTCAATTATTTAAATAAAGTATTAATTGTGGAAAGAACAAGAAAACATGACTATAAGAGAGTGTAAAAATTTGGTAAATGATATTAATGATTGATGAATTGCAATACCGTGTACGTACCTGGAAAAATCACAAAATATGTTGTTTTAGAATAGCGGTAAGGTTCATAAATTCTTATTTTATCTTTTGAAATATGTAATAATTTATAGTTATTGTGAAGCAGTTATTGACGACTATACTATTTTTTCGCTTTAGTATAATTTACGTCTTCAAATTTTTTTTTTTTTAGAGACAAAATTTTAAGCTATAAAAAAAAAGATGATAAATCAGTGATGACGTAAACTGTACAAATATGAAAATTTTTAGTGCAGTCGTCAATAACATGGCTGCACAATAATTTTTTTTTAAAAAAAAGGATCGTTCAGCTATGGACCGTTCAGAAAATGAAGTCGAAGTTGCCTACGTTTTAATAAAGCATTCTCCATCGATGAGAGGAAGAAACTTTGAGTGGGATGGCATCGAAGAGTTAAAAAATCGGCTTTAAAAAAGTCGATTGGTTTACAAGAGGGGTTGATATGGAATACATCCATACAGGGTGAGTTTCAAAGTTATGCTGCTACATCGGTGTAATAAAATCTGATAGAGAATTGAAAGCTCTTTGTGGCCAACTATTTTGATAGTTGAATGTTCTCTATCAGTTACCGATGTTTATGTAGAAAATTGGACCTGTTTGTAAAGAGAGTAACTAGGTGAATAGAATAGATTCTAACATTGAAAATATGTAACCATTGACTATTCCAGCTATATACAATTACTCATGTTCATTCACATTTTAGCAACCTGGGTAATAGAAGTATCAATATCATTTGCAAAATACGTAAAAATTGGAATATGAATTTGCTAAGAGAAGAAGAAACCTATGCAATAAAATTATTTTAACTAATGGTACTACTTCTAGTAGTTTCAATTTCAAAGCAACTGATAATATTTTGGACTCATTATAGTATAATAGGTATTTTTTTCTTAATTTACACTGGTATATAAAAATACATGTATAATTGCACAACAGAAATCTTAGAAAATGACAATTCGTTGAAATTGATGATTGAAATTAACATCTAAGTTTATTAATCATTTATGTATTTAGTCTTTAAAATGAATTAATCATTTATAATTTACAAATTAATGGATTGGATATACACCTTTGCACTACCGGTAGTACATTTATTAAAGGCTTTAAAAAATCAAAAAAATTAATTTTTAAAAAAATTTTTGCATGGAAAAATTTAATAATTGCTATAATATTACAGAAAATTTTTATTTTAATATTATTATTAATAAAATTATTCTAAAAAAATTTTTTTTTAACTTGTAATTTTTGCAAAAGTTGA